CCTTCCATCTTCCTGATACCTCCAACTCTCCATTTAATAACTGTTCTCTCCTATTTTTAACGGACAAATCCATTCTTTCCCTAGGCTTTCTCAATTTACTAATCTCGCTCCAGAACTTTTTCTTATTTTCAACAAAAATTTTTGAAAACATCTCACCCACTTTCTCATTTACTCTCTTTTTACATTGTTTCACCACTTTCTTAACCTCTGTTTTTCTCTTCATATACTCTTTCCTCCTTGCATCATTTCTACTTCTAAAAACCTCTTATATGCTAAGTTTTTCTCTCTTACTACTCTATTTACATCATCATTCCACCAATCGCTCTTCTTCCCTCCCACGCCCACTTTCCTGTAACCAGAAACTTCTGCTAAACACTCTAGCCCTATATTCTTAAATTTATCCAATACGTCTTCGATCCCATTGCCTATAACTCTCACTAGCCTATCTCTCCTCCAACAGTTATTTGTATCTTACCCTAACCACCTCCTCCTTTAGTTTATAAATCTTCATTTCTCTCTTACTTGCTGTTTCTATTCTCCTTGTATCCCGTCTACCTTTCACTCTCACTGTAGCTATAACTAAAAGTGTTCTTATGTATCTTTGGCCCCTGTATAAACATGTACATCCTGAAGTCTACCCAACAGTCTTTTATCTACCAACATGTAGTCCAACAAACTACTGTCATTTCGCCCTACATCATATTTTGAATACTTATTTATCCCCTTTTTTTAAAATATGTATTACCTGTAAACAAACCCCTTTCTATACAAAGTTCAATCAAATGCTCCCCATTATTATTTACAGTTGGCACCCCAAGTTTACATATTACACTTCTCCTACTTTAGCATTTAGGTCCCCTACCACAATTACTCTCTCTCTTGGCTCAAAAGTTCCTACACACTCGCTTAACATCTCCCAAAATCTCTCTCTCTCTTCTACACTCATCTTTACTCCAGGTGAATACACACTTATTATGACCCACTTTTCACATCCGACCCTCATTTTAATCCACATAATCCTTGAATTTATACATTTATATTACCTCTTCTTTCTCCATAACTGATCCTTCAACATTATTGCTACCCTTTCCTTAGCTCTAACTTTCTCAGATATCTCAGACTTAATCCCATTTATTTCTCCCCACTGAAACACACCTTCTCCCTTCAGGTTTGTCTCGCTTATGGCCAGGACATCCAACATTAGCAATTACTTCATTCTTATCATCTGCACTACATTTACGAACATTCAAACATACCAATTTCATAATTTTTTTCCTTATCTTGTTTTTAGTAACTTATACAGGAGAAGGGGTTACTACTGCTAGGAAAAAAAAGACCCCCTCTCCCATACCACCAATCCAACGACATTCATCTTTGCAAATATACAGGATCTAAAGCCAGAAACGAACAACAAAATACCTTTCATTCGTGGGCTGCTTACAAAGTCACATGCAAAGTTCGTGGTTTTCACTGAGACCCACATAAAGGATCACTTGGACAACGAATATTAGGTCATGGGTTACAACCTATACAGATACGACAGAGTGAATAGGCAAAAGGATGGGGGGGCGAGATGGGTGGGTTGGCCTGTATATCTCAATCGGTTATATGCTTGGAACTACTAAATGCCTCAAATGATGTACTTGAAGTTTCAGCAGTAAAGATCGAGAACCAAAACTGGGTTATTGTGGTAGTAAACAAGCCTACAGATGCAACGCCCCATCAATTCCCGGAACAGCTTTTGAAAATTGATCACTGTCTTCAAAATCTCCCAACTCCTGCCACCAACATGTTTCTCCTGCGGGATTTAACCTAAGGCACCTGAAATGGAGGCATATAGCAAATAATGTTGTTGCAGAAATACCACCAGGAGGCAGCTCAGATGAAAGCTCACACATACAAGAGCTTTTAAGTCTCTGCACCAACTTCACCTTAAACCAACAAATAAAGATCCTACGAAACTGGAGAATGTGCTGGACCTCATCTTCACTAACAGTAATGATCTGATATGAACAGTCACCATATCATAAACAACATACTCAGATAACAACATAATCGAAGTTCAGACATGTATGTGCGGAGCCCCAGACCGACAAAATATGATCAGTCACGAGGGAGCCTTCACCAAATTCAACTTCAAGAAAATACCGAAAAGTGGGACCAAGTAAAGTAAGTCCTAAATAATATAAACAGATTAACTCTGTGGCACTCGAGGTATGTTCAAGTCATATTTCTTTAAGAAAAAGTAGAAGATGCAAACTAGAAAGAGAAAGGTGCTCCCTATACAGGCGAAGGCAAAGAATAACAGAACGGCTAAAAGAAGCCAATATATCTGGAATACGTAGGGAGACACTTGTCAGAGTAAAAGCAAACATCGAACTAATGCTAAAGGAATCTTACAGAAGTCAAGAAACGTGGGAAAAACTAAAAGTCATAAAAGAAATTGAAAGAAACCCAAAGTATTTCTTTTCTTATGCCAAATCAAAGTCGAGAACAACATCCAGTATTGGGCCCCTACTTAAACAAGATGGGTCCTACACAGATGACAACAAGACATGAGTGAGCTACTCAAGTCCCAATATGTCTCGGTTTTTGGCGAGTCGTTAACCAGACTAAGAGTAGAAGATCTAAATGAACTCTATATGAGACAGCCACAGAATTTGGTAGACACAAACCTATCTGACATTATCCTGACGCCAAATGACTTCGAAAAAAACGATAAATGACATGCCCATGTACTCTGCCCCAGGCCCAGACTCATGGAACTCCGTGTTTATCAAGAATTGCAAGAAGCCCTTATCACATGCTTTAAACATCCTGTGGAGAGGGAGCATGGATACTGGGGTCGTCCCACAGTTACTAAAAACAACAGACATAGCCCCACTCCACAAAGGGGGCAGTAAAGCAATAGCAAAGGACTACAGACCGATAGTGCTAACGTCCCATATAAAAAAAATTTTTGAAAGGGTTCTAACAAGCAAGATTGCCACCAATCAAGATACCCATCATTTACACAACCCAGGGCAACATGGGTTTAGAGCAGATCGCTCTAGTCTGTCCCAGCTACTGGACCACTATAACAAAGTCCTGGATGCTCTATAAGACAAACGAAATGCAGATGTAATATATACATACTGTGTAATAGCCTTTGACAAGTGTAACCACGGGGTAATAGCACACAAAATGCTTGATAAAGGAATGACAGGAAAAGTTGGTAGATGGATCTATAATTTTCTAACAAATAGAACACAAAGATAGTAGTAAACAGAGTAAAGTCTGAGGCAGCTACGGTGCAAAGCTCTGTTCCACAAGGCACAGTACTCACTCCCATCTTGTTTCTCATTCTCATATCTGATATAGACAGGAATATCAGACACAGTACCGTGTCTTCTTTTCAGATGACACCGGAATTTGCATGACAGTGTCCTCCATTGAAGACACCACAAGACTCCAGGCAGCCCACAGGATGGGTATGGGGTGCAGAATAAAGATATTAAACTCATGATTGTAGCCATATATAAACGTAAGTAAGTAACTTACTTACAGGATTCATTTCCTTTGTAACTTGCTCAGCTATCATAATTTTAAGGGTCCAGTCCCTGGACCCATTATGTACCTCTGTAATCTTTTGACTACCGCCCACGGATGTGTATGGGGTGCATAATAAACATATTAAACTAAAAACAAGACATCAACCAAATCTTTAAATGGGCTGCAGAAAACAAGAAACTCAATTATGAGAAATTTCAATTATTCTGATATGGAAAACGTGAGGAAATTAAAACTTCATAGGAGAATAAAGAAATTCCAACCACACAATAGTGCGAAAAACTAATGTAAAGGACCTGGGAGTGATCATGTCAAAAGATCTCAACTTCAATCACATCTGCTAGATATAAAAGCAGGATGGATAATGAGAACCTTCAAAACTAGGGATGCCAAGCCCATGATGACACTCTTCAGGTCGCTTGTTCTATTTAGGCTGGAATATTGCTGCACACTAACAGCACCTTTCAAGGCAGGTGAAATTGCTGACCTAGAAAATGTACAAAGAACCTTCATGGCGTGCATAACCTACATAAAACGCCTCAATTACTGAGAACGCTTGAAGTTCCTAAACCTGTACTCCCTAGAACGCAGGCGGGAGAGATTATATACACTTGGAAAATCCTAGAGGGATTAGTACCAAACTTGCTCACGAAAATCACTCTGTATGTAAGCAAAAGAGTCGGCAGACGATGCAACATTCCCCCAAAGACAAGCAGGGGTGTCACTAGCACGTTAAGAAACAACACAATAAGTGTTAGGAGCCCAAGACTGTTCAGCTTCCTCTCAGCATACATAAGGCGAATTACCGATAGACCCCTGACTGTCTTCAAGCAGGCACTGGACAAGCACTAAATTCAGTACCTGACCAGCTGGGCTGTGGATCGTATGTTGGACTGCGTGCGACCAGCAGTAACAGCCAGGTTGATCAGGTCCTGATCCACCATGAGCCTGGTCACAGACCGGGCCAGAGGGACATTGAACCCTGGAATTGTCTCCAGGTAAACTCCAGGTAAAGGGTTGTTACTTTCTCCATTCAGGAAACAAAGATTCTGGATTAAGTTCTCTACTCTTAAGTATTTTCCTCTCACGAAACATTATGCTGCTAAAATTGTACTGTGGTTAGTGTGTTTTTATATTTAATTGATGTTTCCAGTGTCATAAATATTCTTATTGAATAATAATGTTTTTATGTCTTCCACAGGCTGATACATACACGCCATTACCACTAATTATATTATACATCTTCCACAGGCTGATATATACAAGCCATTACCACTAATTATATTTTACGTCTTCCACGGGCTGATATATACACGCCATTACCACTAATTATATTTTACGTCTTCCACAGGCTGATATATACAAGCCATTACCACTAATTATATTATACGTCTTCCACAGGCTGATATATACACGCCATTACCACTAATTATATTTTACGTCTTCCACAGGCTGATATATACAAGCCATTACCTCTACTTACACTTGGTGTGTTGTCACTTGTCTCTGGTTGTCTTACCGTCTTCCTGCCAGAGACTCTTGGCTGTGAATTACCACAAACTCTAGAAGAGAGTGAAGCTCTTGGCAGGTGAGAATGATCGTAGATTTCTTGATCTGGATTTCAACAACTAGATTTGTGATTAGTAAATAAGTTTAGTTATAATTTAATCGTATATAGACACATTCAAATAGAGCCAGCAGCAGGGAATACACCTGCACTGTGCTATTCTGAGAAGAAACTTCCCATCATTCCTTCAGTTGCAGCCTTGCAACATTGCATAGCTCCTGATGACGCACTGAGAAGTGTGAAAGTACTTTAGCTAAAGATTTTCACCCCCCGTGGCTTGTCTTGCATATATAATATATATATTTATTTTATATATATATATATATATATATATATATATATATATATATATATATATATATTTTATTGTGTGTGTGTGTGTGTGTATATATACATATATATTTTATATATATATATATATATATAACACATATATATATTAATATATATATATATATATATATATATATATATATATATATATAAAATATATTTATTATTATATATATTTTTTATTATTTTTTTTATTATCACACCGGCCGATTCCCACCAAGGCAGGGTGGCCCGAAAAAGAAAAACTTTCACCATCATTCACTCCATCACTGTCTTGCCAGAAGGGTGCTTTACACTACAGTTTTTAAACTGCAACATTAACACCCCTCCTTCAGAGTGCAGGCACTGTACTTCCCATCTCCAGGACTCAAGTCCGGCCTGCCGGTTTCCCTGAATCCCTTCATAAATGTTACTTTGCTCACACTCCAACAGCACGTCAAGTATTAAAAACCATTTGTCTCCATTCACTCCTATCAAACACGCTCACGCATGCCTGCTGGAAGTCCAAGCCCTCGCACACAAAACCTCCTTTACCCCCTCCCTCCAACCCTTCCTAGGCCGACCCCTACCCCGCCTTCCTTCCACTACAGACTGATACACTCTTGAAGTCATTCTGTTTCGCTCCATTCTCTCTACATGTCCGAACCACCTCAACAACCCTTCCTCAGCCCTCTGGACAACAGTTTTGGTAATCCCGCACCTCCTCCTAACTTCCAAACTACGAATTCTCTGCATTATATTCACACCACACATTGCCCTCAGACATGACATCTCCACTGCCTCCAGCCTTCTCCTCGCTGCAACATTCATCACCCACGCTTCACACCCATATAAGAGCGTTGGTAAAACTATACTCTCATACATTCCCCTCTTTGCCTCCAAGGACAAAGTTCTTTGTCTCCACAGACTCTAAGTGCACCACTCACTCTTTTTCCCTCATCAATTCTATGATTCACCTCATCTTTCATAGACCCATCCGCTGACACGTCCACTCCCAAATATCTGAATACGTTCACCTCCTCCATACTCTCTCCCTCCAATCTGATATTCAATCTTTCATCACCTAATCTTTTTGTTATCCTCATAACCTTACTCTTTCCTGTATTCACCTTTAATTTTCTTCTTTTGCACACCCTACCAAATTCATCCACCAATCTCTGCAACTTCTCTTCAGAATCTCCCAAGAGCACAGTGTCATCAGCAAAGAGCAGCTGTGACAACTCCCACTTTGTGTGTGATTCTTTATCTTTTAACTCCACGCCTCTTGCCAAGACCCTCGCATTTACTTCTCTTACAACCCCATCTATAAATATATTAAACAACCACGGTGACATCACACATCCTTGTCTAAGGCCTACTTTTACTGGGAAAAAATTTCCTTCTTTCCTACATACTCTAACTTGAGCCTCACTATCCTCGTAAAAACTCTTCACTGCTTTCAGTAAACCTACCTCCTACACCATACACTTGCAACATCTGCCACTTTGCCCCCCTATCCACCCTGTCATACGCCTTTTCCAATCCATAAATGCCCAAGGCCCTCTTTGCTTATCTAAATACTGTTTCACTTATATGTTTCACTGAAACCCCTGGTCACACACCCCTATATATATATATAAATATAATTATAGATATTTATATTTTTTATATTTTTTATATATTATATATATATATAAAATATATATATATATATATATGTAAACTGTGGTCCTGGGTTGTTCGTATTTAATCCGTTCCTGGAGCCTTCTATAAACGAAATTACGATTTCGATCAATTTTCCCCATAAAAATTTAATGTAAATACAATTACCCGTTCCTGACACCCAGAAGTATCAAAAACAAAAATTTTTAACATGAATATGCATGTAGTACATAAACAATACAAGGGGAAATGATGAATGAACTTTAACATCAAAAACACTTACCTTTATTGGAGATTCTTCTTAGTGTATGGGAGACTGGAGGAGGAGAGAGAGTGGATTGTTTATAGGGGAAAGGGGGAATCCCCTTCCATCAACACCTCGGGTACCATTTGGCTTTTCTGGGTTGCTTCCCCTTCTCTGTTTCTTAATGCCACTAGGACCACCTTGAGAGTCACTGGATCCTGTCTCACAAAATAACTGTGGAGAGAGCTCTGTTCTGACGTCTCTTTAACACTTCCCAAAAAAGGGCCCCAAGACTTGTCACTGTACATGTTGCCAACCTGGCTTGCAACAACCTTGTTAGGCGATGTTTCTCCATAAAACTTTCCATCTTACCCCACATAGTAAAAATCTCTTTAATTTCTGAAGAAGGCACCTTCTTCCATCTCTCTTGCTCCTCTTGCAGCAAGATTCTGAGCTGCGATGTGTTGCTCTTCCTGTGAAGCTCTTGCAGCTCCCAGTGGTGAGCTTTCATTGTGGTCTTCCACCAATTCTTCCACATCCTCCAAACTCACATCCAACCCCATGCAACTCCCCAGTGCCACAATTGATTTTACAACAGACAAAGGCTCATTAGGGTCAGTCCCAAATTCTTCAAAATCCATCTTGTCGACACAATCTGATCACAATTTTCTCCAGGCAGAGTTCAAAGTCCTGGTAGTCACTCCCCCCCAAGCCATACCTATAAGGTTATGCAGTGGAGGAGCTGAAGTGTTCTCTCCAAAATTCCCTTAGGGTCAAGTGAGTGTTTGTGGTCACAGTCAAGCACCTGTGAAACATTGCTTTTGTGTAGAGTTTTTTAAAATTTGCAATAACCTGCTGGTCCATGGGTTTGGGGGAAGGAGTGGTATTCGGGGCAAGGGAAATTTACTGTGATGAACCCAAAAATCCCCGAAAATTAGGTCATCCAAGTTTGGAGGATGAGCAGGTGCATTGTCCATTACTAGCAGCACTTTAGATCCAATTTCGTTTTCCCCGGAGATACTCCTTTACACTAGGGCCAAACATTTCATTGAACCACTCGATGAAAATTTCCCTCGTGACCCATGTCTTACTATTAGATTTCCAAAACACACACAATTTACTCTTCATAACATTGTTTTTCCTGAACACTCTGGGATTTTCAGAATGGTACACTAGTAATGGCTTCACTTTGAAATCCCCATTAGCATTAGCACAGAACATTAGCGTCAGCCTGTCTTTCATAGGCTTGTGTCCTGGCATTGTCTTTTCCTCTTGTGTAATGAAGGTCCTCTTTGGCATTTTCTTCCAAAAGAGGCCTGTTTCATCACAAATGAACACTTGTTCAGGTTTCAGTCCTTCAGCCTCTATGTACTCCTGGAATTCATGCACATATTTTTCAACAGCCTTATGATCCGAACTGGCAGCCTCACCATGCCTTACCACACTGTGTATGCCAGTGCGGTTCTTAAATCTCTCAAACCAGCCTTTTCTGGCCTTAAATTCAATCACTTCACCACTATTTGCAGGCAATTTCTTAACCAAATCTTCATGCAACTGCCTAGCCTTTTCACAAATAAACGAAGTCATAGGAGTATCTCCTGCTAATTGTTTCTCATTTATCCAAACCAATAATAACTTCTCAACCTCTTCCAGTACTGGTGATCTCATTTTTGTCAGCATAGTTACTCCCTTTGCAACAACAACATCCTTTATTTCATTTTTCTTGGCCACTATGGAACATAAGGTCGTGTAGGGTTTCTTATACATCCTAGACAGTTCGGCCACACTTGTACCACTTTCATATTGTTCAATGATGGTTTTCTTAAATTCAATCGTATTTCTAACCTTCTTTACCACAGGCTTGGCACTAGAAGCTTTCTAGTGGCGAACCCATGGGTAGTCCAAAAGTCTGCTGAAAGAGGTGATTTTCGAAGGAGAAACACGTAAAGCCAACACATAGTTCAACAAGGTCGATGAAATCGCTGGCTGGAATGGGAAGATCGATCTCTTGCGCAGGAAAATTGACGATTCACTTGATCTTCCCATTCCAGCCAGCGATTTCATCGACCTTGTTGAACTATGTGTTGGCTTTACGTGTTTCTCCTTCGAAAATCACCTCTTTCAGCAGATTTTTGGACTACCCATGGGTTCGCCACTCAGTGCAGTCCTGGCGAACTTATACATGGAACATCTAGAAGCCGAACGTTTCTCCACCATTATTCCTTCGTCTGTCACCTGGCTCCGTTATGTTGACGACATTCTCCTCATAACTCCTAAACGCTTCAACGTTCAAGCTCTCCAAGACAAGCTCAACCAGGTCGAGCCTTCAATCCAGTTCACACTTGAAGAAGAAGTCGACAACACTCTTCCTTTCCTTGATGTTCTGCTCTGCAAAGCTGACCACGAACTTCGTTTTAAAGTCTATCGAAAACCCACCAACCAAAACGATCTTCTCCACTTCTACTCTCACCACGACACCAAAACCAAACGTGGTGTGATTATAGGCTTCTTCCTACGTGCACTCAGAATCTGCAGCAATGAGTTCCTTGAGGAAGAATGCACTATAATTGAACAAGTATTTTCTAAACTCCACTATCCTCGTCACTTCATCAGAGACTGCAGACGGCGGGCATTAAACATCTTCAACACACCCAGAGAAGACACTGCCGAGAAGAGATACATAGTCCTCCCCCAACAACTCCATTGCCAAACATGTTTCCAACATCTTTGCCAAAACATCATTCCAAGTATCTACCTCCACAACCACGACCATCAAGGACATCACCAGTAGTAGACAGGACAA